AGTGACGTCAAAGATGAGGAGATTGTACAACAGTACGATATAGAAGGCTGGAGTACAACACCATAACCCCCTGTATACTACTTCTTAGCATCAATCAGCCAATCAACCAATCAATCGCAATCAATCTGCTCAAAAACCCTAACAATCAATCCGCAATCAATCAGCAGCGTCGCCGCAAGCTAATCAAACCAATCGACAACCTTAAGATTGATTGATTTGATTGTTGCGGAGTCTGAATGTATTGGAGTCCGTACTTCCAGATGTGTGATGTACCTTGACGGAAATCCTTCCTTGCAATTATTGCACGTTTCACGTACGTGATACCGCCCTGCACGAACTCATCTGGAGATTCGTGATATTGAATAGGAGTGGGTGATAGTATAGGGGTGGGTGATGACGTGGGGATAGGAGATGGAGTAAGAGACGTTAAATCTAGTCTTATAATATTCGATGGGGACGGTGAGGTTGGTGTTGAAGGCTCCATAACAATAGTATATAAGTAGGTTGTTAAGGACTTGATTGTTCTATGTAAGTAGAAGACTTACCTTGATCTTAATGACTCATATTGTGCTAAATTTTCTGGCTAGATTAGTCTAAGATCTAGTCACGTGGACCTATTTATAGCCGGACCGGTCCGATCATCTAGACCGGTCCGACCACGGTCTCAAAAAATCGCCAGACCAGACCAAGTCTTGGCGGTCTAGACCAGACCAAGACCAAGTCAGACCAGACCATTCCGATCACTGCCGGCAGCCCGGATTGGCACTGCATATACGCAAGCTATTTCCAACATTATCACGGATCTGGTATGTGCAGCTGCACCCCTTGCATACATCAGATGCGTCCGGGTGAATAGGCGAACAAAGTGGAGTTTACGGGCCGTATTCCTCATGTCGCTACTGTAAGTCGCTGCATACACCTCCTGCTCAACATGTCGGCTCTTCTCTTCTAACACCTACATAGCTGCACAGCCATCTCCGCAATCAAACTCTGGGCCTTCCAACAGTTGCAGGGCCAGAAGGAATTTTACTACAAATGTGTTCCGCTCATCATCTGGTCCATGACGGAGCTTTCGGTTGGTATCGTTGTTGCTAACTTACCTCCGCTCCGCAAATCTTTCGATAGCTTGCTCAGATCCATTCTCCCTACCTCTTTGTCACATACACGCGACTCGATGAGATTCAAGGATCTACATCTCCCGGCATACTTTTCACGGAATACGGCGAGAGACAGGGCGAGCGGAGGGATCGGAAAGTCACATACTGCAGTACTGGCTACGATTGATACGAATGAGGAGGCGATAATGAGGGACATTGATACTGCAGAGAGCCAAAAAGGCGATATTGCCATGTTCGCTTCACGTACGAGGACTAATAGCAGCATAGGATGAAACTTGAATAATTAATTATCCGGGCGACTGTACCTCAGAATCAGCCATATCCCCATCGTACATCTACCACCATCTCTCAGATGCCTACTGCTCTAGTAGTCATCCTCATCCTCGTACCTCCTCTCGTCCCTGCCCTCATCATACGCGTTTTCCATGTTATCACCAAAGTCCTCAACTCCATCAACCATGTTATCCCACTTATTCTCAATGTTCTCTGGAATATCCTCGACCGCTTGAACCTTGTCTCCAGTCCAACGAGCCGCGTTCTCCGGGAAGTTCTCCACATCGTCAACGGCATTGTCGTATGTGTGCTCGGCGCGGCCGACTTGCTCGCCAGTCCAGTTTGCTACGTTCTCGGGTGCGTTTTCTAGGCCTTGTTTGGCGCTGTCGAATCCTTCGCCTGGGTTGATGTTAGCATGGTGTTTGGGTGGAAGGTGGTAATCGAGGGGACTTACCGATCTTGTCGCTTTCATGCATTAAGAGGGCGCCACCAGCGAGACCTGCCGCACCCACTGCAGCATACTTCAAGCCATTGCCGCCTGACTTCTTCTGCTCCTCGGGCGCACTGCTGCGAGTTGGGTCGTATGAGTGTTGTTGGGCGGCACCCTGGTTGTTGTAGCCACCCTGGCCGTAACCGTAACCACCCTGCTGGGGAGCGCCGTAGCTACCCTGTTGCTGGGCATAGCCGGGTCCAGGGTAGTTGGGGGTACGCTCGCCTGTCTGTTGGTTCACAAAAACCCAGCGTTGCTCATGTCCGTTCCACTCGGCGAACCACGGCGGAGAAACGGGCGGAGGCTGTGGTGAGGATTGCTGGGGCGGGTATTGACCGTATTGTTGTGGTGGTGGTTGACCGTACTGCTGTTGGCCGTATTGTTGCTGGCCATACTGTTGCTGTTGACCATATTGCTGCTGCTGACTGTATTGCTGCTGTTGGCCGTACTGTTGCTGCTGCTGTTGGTCACCGCCCGACTTGGTGCCCTTGAAGTCTGAGATCAAATCGCTAAGGAAACCCATGTTGGAAGATGTGGCGTTCAATGTTTGTGTAAATTGCAAAGCAAGCTGAAGTAGAAAGTGTTTTGTGAAGGTAAACGGAGGCGGGGCTTGAATGCGGTATTTATTCAATTGCGACGTCGGCTTCAATCACCCTGCGTCACACAAGCTGCAGCTAGATGGGCCATCCGAGACGGTCCGTGGGATGCGTAACAAATGCAAACCTTACGCTTTGAAACGTGGCGCGAATTTCGGTGTGGCAGTGCCGCTAATTCCGCCATCTGGACCGGCAGCCACAACTTGCCGGTCGAGCCGAGGTAATTGAGCATTTGATTAAGGGGAGTTGGGAAAAGGAGACGTAAAAGATGGAGCGGGTGGATAAGAGAAAATCATTTTGATTTCGCAACAAGACGCGTTCAATCGAGTATGCGTCAACTAAGCAACACTAAGCTTTCCACGCTGGTCTTGGCGCTGCGGGCCATTCCTCCCGGAAGATCCCAGCCGCTCACCGTCGCCGTACAACTCCCACCCCACTTTGCCGGAGCTCAGGGGCTGCTAAGTTCATGCCACATATCGCGACTGCGCCACCCGGTCCAGACATGTTTCCAGTTCCGAGAAAAAGGAGAACAAGTGAGATACAGTTGGCAAGTTGCGATCTTCCAACGATCGCGATCTTAGCGTGAGGCGCAGCTCTCGTACCTGCGCGAATACCAGGGTGTGGCTGATCTGACAGGCAAACTCCAGAAGATGGGCAGCTTCGCGATGCAAGGAAAAAGAACGCATACTGGACGCATCGCGAGCACCACGTCAGCCCTCACGTTACGTGTGCCAGATTTTGTTTGTTGGAGTCTATCCCTTGCGCCCGCACATGAACCAACCCCCCTTTAGCATGTAAGACGGGCGAATGGGAGATTATGTGCAGGCATTGTCGCAATCTGCGTTTTCCCATTCGCGAGTTCAGCCGTCAGTGCTGCCGATACTGGTAATGCTATCCATTAACGTCCAAGTACGTTCAAAGATAGCCTGGATACCCAAATCCGACATCATCCGCGCTGGGATAGACGGAGTAGTAGCAGTGTTAATAGCTAGTGCGACGCTTTTCTGGTCTTTTCCTTTTCCCCAGCGTGTTGGGCGTCATTTTCAAGATGATTGGTATCATCATAAACATCCCCGTTAAACCGTTTTCGTCGTACCAGAGTCTGGGAAGCGGGGAAGATGCGCATCAGCGATGAGGGCTAGGCTGATCCATCATATCGAACGACAGGGCCGCTTCCAGACCCGAAGCCCCGTAAATCGTGACATATTCATAACTCTTGGGTACAGGTGCGGGGCCGAAGCGCAGTTCATCTTGAAGTGGTAGTCGCGGTGTTGCACACTCTCTTACCGTATCGCACGACACACAACTCTGCCTTACTCATCCACTATTCTCCTCAAATGTGCAGATACAATCGAGTATAATATCAGGATACTTTCCATGTCAAGGATGTAGACACAATTTACTGTCTGCCAAGTAGAGCAGAGTAGACTACCGTCGACGCGTTTGGTACACTAATGCAATCTCCCTGCAGCTCCGAGGTCTGGATGAATCCAATCATTTCCAAATTAATACTGGAAAACATCAGAAGAATTGCGTGGTCGCCTTAGAGAAGCGTCGATATGTGTACGTCTACTGGTATAATTGCTTGATAGTACACACTTTTGATTATACTGTTATACACACTGCTGAACATGCCACTCCTCGTAACTTTGTATATGTAGTATAACAGGTGGTGTCAGGCACGGGAGGTGGAGTTCTACCCCTCTATAGTACCACGGTACTATGCTATGCCCACCATATTGGAAAACCATCAATCGAATAATGGTGACGAGAGCTCTTCCAAGGTTTTGCGATGTTTCTCTTTCCCCTCTATATTTATATCATCATTTTACTGTCTCTCTTTTCCCTCCCCCGTCACTCTTACCACAGTCCTTGGTCTCACTCTGACTGGCTCGCTCTATTACCAGTCACTATCCTGGCACTCGCCATCACCGCTCGAGCGGGGAAGAGCTGCAAGGATCACTATGATTACGATAGGATGTGCTATCGGAAGTGGCACGAGTATTATTCCGGTAGCCACACCCTCTATACTTGCATCAACTCAAAGTGTATCGCCTTGCCATGCAGATTGGGTGAAATGTGCGCCAAAGATACAGATGACGAACCCAAATGCATGAGGAAAGATTGGCATAATCCATTGTTATGGATTCCAGATTTTTGGGATTGAGAACGTAGTAAGGTTTGCATCAGAAATATTGATAGTTTCGGGGTTTGGACTCACTACGATTAGGTCACTGCCTTTCCCTTGCAAGGTGCAGGCGGATGCATACTGTTCAAGCATCACTGTCTTCCCGTGCGTATCTACCGCCACGATAGTTGATTTGTACTGTGACGGGGCTGATATCATCTAGTAGGCATGCTGCAACCTCAATTGTTACGGAGATCACTGTTTGCAGGCATTGTATGCTTGAGCGTGGAAACTTGGCGCAACTGGGTTGCATGGTCTGGGTACTGTCTGTTCGTGTTCATGGGTTCAATTTCTGTAAGAGGGCTCTTGGAGATTAAAAGTTTCATTTTTTCCTTGGAGAAGTGGCATTGTGAAAATAATATAAAGGTTTTATCTCACGTCCCTGTTGTTTCTGCGCTATCTTGTTGGCTGGAATGCTGCCAGTATGATGAGGGATCGATCACCACACACCGCATCGAGACTCTTCCTTGGTATTTTGAATAAAGCCCATGACATCTAGTAGACTACATGTTCGACTAACATCATTTCAAGTGTCATAACATTCATAAACACAGCGTAAACCAACAGAAAGGATTTCTCGCCAAGATCACACGAGGTCTTCGAAGTTTTTAGTAATAATAAGGAACAACTTCAGTAACGAAGACAGGACAGCTGGTAGACGGGTATTTTTGAACACAACAGCCTCCACTAGCCTTTTACATCAGTTTAAGGATCTCACAGCTCCATAGCATCTGCGGTCCTGAATCTAGAATCACATCCCTCGGGTGTAAGATATATACTGTAGTGATCACCTCCTCGTTCTCACCAACATCAAATCCTTTCTAGATCACTTTTTAGAAAAAGGAACCCTTGTGATTCCACATTATGTGATTTTAGAGGATGTCAGCCTGGCACCTCGGTTCACCTGGTACACTGTGAACTGAATCTCACGTGACTCCTCGCCACCTGCTTACTCATCTCGGTTGTGTATATAATCGCTCTATGTAGCTCTCTCAATAGAACAATTTCTTCCTCTCTTCTGCCCTGTCCTCAAATATCTAACAGAGGACACAGCGGAGAGTGTGTGATAAGAGGAAAGAAGTGGGAAAAGAGGCAGAGATTATATAGCTATTCTGGCCCAGCTTAGCGGAAGTCACTGCTCCATGTGAGACTCGAAATTTCGTTTTTCACAGACATCATTGTTGTAGATATTTTTTCAATAGCGCACATAGCCGCCGACTCAACATATGACGTTTCTGAACTCATTTAAAAAAAAAGTCAGGACCGGAGCAGTAAGCCAGAATTTTTGAAGGTCGCGTTGTAAGTTTCATAATGTGGAAAAAAGGAAGAGAAAGAAAAGGATTTTTTTTATAGAGAGTAGTACCCCGCTTGACGGAAGTCACTGCTCCATTCCCAGACGACATCGTTCTTTTGCGGACATACTAGCGATCGTCTACTTTTTCAATACGTCAATAGTTCTCACACAGGTGCCGGACCGGTATCATACGGACGTGTATGGATTTTGAGAAAGGCCAGAATCATGAAGTGCGACCTTGTCTTTTTGGAATATCGCCCTGGATGTTTTAAAGTAAGAAGGAAAGAGAGAAGTAGAGAGAAACGTGGGCTTTACTGGTAACTCAATCCAGCCCACCAGAGGTTACTGCCCCATGGTACATTGGCTCGGCTTATTTGAACACATAGAGCCTGGAGTAGGCTTTTAGCAATTTCCACAGAGCCGCTGCCGCCAACATGCAATCCCAATGCATATAATTTTAGACAAAAGCGGAACCATATACTTGCTTCCACGCTGTTTTAGGAAGAAAGAAAGATTTCCAAGTAAAGAAGTCGAGAGGAGAGAGACGGCGAAGACTTTATAGAAGCTTTTAACCCAACCAGACAGCCTCGCCACTCATTAGTATCAAGCATAATGTTTTGGAACGAATGAAGTTTATAGCCCGTGTTTTCGGTAGGTTCTATGCAGACACAGCCGGCGAAATAGAAAAGGTTGATGGAATTTTTTTTGGAAAAAGAGGAATCTTTAATTTTTTTTTCAGGTGCCGCTGCCCACATGTCGGTTCGTTGTTGCTCATTGTATTTGGAAAAAGAGGAAACATGGGTCCTATTGTAAGTGTCGGCATACACACGGTGTGTCGCCTAATGAGGCCTAATGTACCGCCTCGATCCTACTTCGGCCCAACTCGGACCCAACGCTATGTATACCTTCGTAGCCCCCACATTCGTAGAATCATCATACACCAGAATACCAATACACAAGATTACCTTAGCTACTGTTATTCACCGTACGATCGTACAAGGCCTTCCAACAGAACACTTACCTGGTTTACAGAAAAAAGAAAACATACTTATGACACCTCTAGTTGGAATAGCACGAGCGAAACGTATGATGGCTCGTCTGAAGTCACGCGTAACCCGCACTGCGACTACGGACCCAAGCGCGATACTTTCCTCACAGATGGGTCACCAGGAAGCTCCTGGTT